CACTTACGAACGTTCAAAACATTTCCATAAACTTCTTTGATATTCTTTGTGGCTACAGAGGCGTTGTTTCCCTTCTTATATTCAAACAGCATTAGATGCCGAATTTGTCTCGTCGTGTGCCATCATCATAAGAGATTAGAGTATACTAAACTTCACACATTATATAGGCTACACTATCCTAACGTTCAGGCTGTTCGTTTAACTATTATACGTGATGTACGTTTTTCCGGGGGTGGTTAATGAAAGTGTTACAAAACGTGACATTAACTTCTTGACGACATAATAGAATAACATTATTTATTTATAAGAAAACAGTCTGTACCTAAAAAAACAACATAGAAACAAATTCTGACACATAGATTTAATTTTAGGAGGCTTCTCGTCCACCATTTTTCTGAACTATAAAACGACTAGATGTAAGCTCCATGAAATAGGTTTAGCTACATAAAAACGCTCACAAGGCTAATACCAGAGGCATGATGGTAAAAAGAATGGCGACATTTTTCAAAAGGTACATATCAAAATATGTCAAAAATAATGCTGTTTTATATAGAAAAATGACCTCGATTATTTCAGCTGCTTCATAAAGACAATTTCTGGCCAAGGTTTCAGTTTCTTGGTTGTGTTGATCACCATTTTCTGAGATAACTTTGTTTTCATATTTCACATATATTTATTACTTTTTATCGTGCTTTAAAATATCACAAGCAGCGTGGATGATATATTACTTCGGTCGCAAATGACAATTACTTTTTATGATATATTATGACACATCTAAAATGAGGGTGATTTCCATACGGAAATGTATGTATATATATAAGATGTATAGCTTCAAAACTATTATATCAGTTACGTTAATTGTCAATAGGCGATCAAGCTCAGCACTGTAAAACAATAATGAACTTAATATAAATTCAAAACTCTATTTTTAAAAAAGACAAAAAACCTTCGCATTTTCCGGTAGTTATCCAAAAGTCATAACGGAGATTGCCTGTGGTAATAGAACCCAAAAGCGTTGGGGGATATCCCATCTATCAAACAAAATCCAAAAAGCGGGTGAGAAACCGGTCAGCAGTCGTGGAAAATTCATTAAGGGTACAGAGTTGAGTGCTTACAGCCATAACGTCTCAACACTTATTGCCTTTCACTGTCTGCAGCCAGTTGTGGGAAAGCAGTTACCCTTAATAAGATGTAATAAAGTTAAAAGTAGAAATAAGATAAAATAACGCCACCCAAAATATATATATTTCTACTAAATAATGCCTACCATCCTACACCCTTAAAAGTTCTAAAAAATCCTTAAAGTAGAATATATGCCACCCTAATAATCCTACTTCACGTTACTCCAAACTCCACCCTTAAAAGTTCTAAAAAATCTTTGAAGTACAATATATGCCACCCTAATAATTCTACTACACGTTACTCCAAACTTCCACCCTTAAAAGTTCTAAAAAATCCTTAAAGTAGAATATATGCCACCCTAATAATTCTACTACACGTTACTCCGAACCTCCACCCTTAAAAGTTCTAAAAAATCTTTAAAGTAGAATATATGCCACCCTAATAATTCTACTACACGTTACTCCAAACCTCCACCCTTTTCTAAGAATGACTTATTAAAACAGATCTTAAAAGAACTACAAGACTTACCTTAAGTATTTCATATTGTCACATTATTCAAGTATAGTATGGGATAGCTGAGCCAAGCCCAGCTACTTGAAGTTAGTCTTTCCAGTCCCGGTTATAATGAATAAATTTAACTTACATATTAAAGGTAGCTAACTACCTCTAGTAACAAAAAAGGTGTTTTCCTTGTTGAATATTTATCTAAGATTTCCACAGAAAAATGTTTAGCTTATGTATGACTTATTACGGAACTTCTATAAATCTAAGCGACTTAGATAGGAAAATATTTAGTTTACATATGACATCTTACGGAACTTCTACAAGTGTGAGCGACTTACATGGGAAAATGTTTAGTTAACACATGACATGTTGCAGAATTTCTACAAGTGAGATCGATTTCCCTAGTGAAATGTTCAGTTTACGTATGACATATTACAGAACTTCTACAAATGAGAGCGATTTCTATAGGTAAATGTTTAGTTTACGTGTGACATATTACAGAACTTCTACAAATGAGAGCGATTTCTATAGGTAAATGTTTAGTTTACGTGTGATATATTACAGAACTTCTACAAATGAGAGCTATTTCTATAGGTAAATGTTTAGTTTACGTATGACTTATTACGGAACTTCTATAAATCTAAGCGACTTAAATGGGAAAATATTTAGTTTACATATGACATCTTACGGAACTTCTACAAGTGTGAGCGACTTACATGAGAAAATGTTTAGTTAACACATGACATGTTGCAAAATTTCTACAAGTGAGATCAATTTCCCTAGTGAAATGTTTAGTTTACGTGTGACATATTACAGAATTTCTACAAATGAGAGCGATTTCTATAGGTAAATGTTTAGTTTACGTGTGACATAGTACAGAACTTCTACAAATGAGAGCGATTTCTATAGGTAAATGTTTAGTTTACGTATTAAATATTACAGAACTTCTACAAATGAGAGCGATTTCTATAGGTAAATGTTTAGTTTACGTTTGACATATTACAGAACTTCTACAAATGAGAGCGATTTCTTCAGGTAATGTTTAGTTTATGTGTGACATATTACAGAACTTCTACAAATGAGAGCGATTTCTATGTGTAAGTATTTAGTTTATGTATGAAATGTTATAAAACTTCTTCAAATGAGAGCGATTTCTATATGTAAATGTTTAGTTTATGTATGACATATTATAGAACTTCTACAAATGAGAGCGATTTCTATAGGTAAATGTTAATTTTTAAAAGTAATTGTGACAAATATTTATGTGAAAATAACAACATACCTACCCATTTAAAATAGCACTTATATATGTATACAAACACAGGAGGTTTATGTATCAACTGAATAAAAGATAGCATCATACGGTTTCAAGTGAGGACTAACAGACATGTGGATTTCGAATTACGTAATGTTTCGAAGATTGTTTCATCTAAGCATAAGGTGTTCAAAATTCATTGTTTAGTACACAAACACACCACATATATATATACATTTTATATAAAGTGTATGCGTGATTTTATGTATTTAATAGAATAAATCAGAACGTCTAATCGTAAACTTCGATTCAAATAATGACTTACCAACGATGGCATGAACATTAAAGAAAGAAAGCCAACACATTAACACAGGGAAAAGGAACATTTTCCTAAAATCTCTGATCCTCATGAAAACCGCTTTAGGTGTATTTCCAATGAGTTTGTCAAGATCTTTATAGAAATATTAACCCGGGTATATAGATCATAGTTATTCTAATTATTATTGGTTGTTCACGCACAACTTCAACGCTTCTTCAATTTTTACCTAATGCTTAAAGTGGGTATGAAAGCGTCTGTGTTCAGAGAAGCATCGCTTTCATATATACAGCGTCTATTAAGTACGTAATCGATACGTCACTTCTGGATCTTCCAATCCCAACGGCTTTCATAACAACATGCTTTAAATAGGAAAGAGAGAAAACTGCCTTTGAAAGTTTGTGATAAAAAGGTGAACTATCCGTTTACATACGAAGAAGATTCTTTACTTAAAACTAAGCATTGGTTATCTTAATATGAAACTACATTTATGAAATTAATATTTATCAGTTTCATAATAATACATTAACAAATAATAAACCAGCTTACACAATTGATATATCAATACAAATGATAGGAATTAAAAACGTAAATCTGGGCTTTAGAATTCCGCATGACATCTTCATTGACCTTCTTGCTCCCGTAACCACTTTTTCTAAGGAATCTAGGTTACTATTTACAACAAGATATTTAACTATGTGTAACATTTTCAATGAAAATACTAAATTCATAATAACTACTAGAGATCTTACAGCGACTATGGGCAATAAACTTTATAAGTACCGTTTCTAAAACACATTTTGAAAACGTTTATGCAGCAACTTGCTTGAGTTTCATGACTAACATGACTTTGCAGGTTAAAGTATCCCTAATAAGATATGAGTGACAAAAATGTTATCAATATCGCAATTACTAATCCCATTAATTACTACTAAGATCTTTTATGTATTTTGTATAAAAAGAAAAGAGTGATTTCACTAATTTTTGAGTTATTTGCACTGAGTTTTGTAACAGGCAAGACGTAAAATTACTCAATAAAATGTAAAATGTGAACGCTATAAAAATAAGTCGTAATTTAAAGGTTAATCTGAAAATATAATAAATTAATTTATTTTATTGTTTTTACAAACAAATTCGACCGACTGTTTAACACCTGCAGAGAGTAAGGATTGGTTACCTACAATTTATAAGGAGGATATCAGATTTCTTATGAAAATCAGTTGATTTTTTGCAAGATTTTAATAGTAATAAGTTTACCAATAAATATTAAGAATTGTAGAGGGTTGCAGTTTGTTGAATTTGAGTATATATATATATATATATATATATAGGTTTAATACGTTATATTAAAACGATTTTGAAGCTTCACCACTTCGACACAGTCCATACATATCGTCACATTCGTACATACTCTATCTGACGATCGTGCATTTTGACAGTAACCTTACAACGTAGTTTCCATAGCAAAAGGCTCCTTCGTAAGGCTATCATGTCCAAAGCTTATCCCTCTTCGCGGAGGCTTTCCATAATCCATGTAGGTAAGAGGATGACGATTTTCTAGGGCACGTTTTAACAGCCCGATTGCACAGAAATTCATATGGTTCTTTGCATGAAATAGTATGAATACCCGTTTCATTCTTCAGTTGCTTAAAGTATGCGATGGTTGAATGGGTGGTATGACTGGAAGTATTATCTTGAACCTGATTCCACTCAAAGATCCTTCTTGATTGTGTTGCATACTGTTGCCCGGGGTATGTGAATGGATTTTGCCACTGACCTTATAGTTCTTGAATTTTAATTTTTATATTGAAAACCTTGATCTGGCATTTTTTTATATATTTTAACACTCTTTCTAAGTATATTAATCTGTTTAACAGTGTAACGCTGTTTTTCAGATTTTGAAAGGAACTACTTAATTGTGTGTTACCGAAACTAATTCATTTACTAAGATGCAACCGCACATCATATTTAAATGTTCAGCTTACAATCAGGCGAACTTAGTACATTGCTAACAGTAATGATACCTCCTTAAAGCGCGTTCCGAACGTCTCCCAGTGGGTAAGAAGCGATAAATCTTCGAACTTAGAACACAGATATCGGGAGTGCGATTCCCCGTGGGGAACAAATTGCAAGATAGATCATTGTGTAGTTTTTTATGTTAGCAAAATGTTTTAGCTGTTGTGATTGACTGTCAAAATTGTCTTATCTATAAACACACCCCACCAACATCATGGTTTCTTTATAACGTACAAAATTGCGAAAATAGCATTTTTAGAGCTTGCTTAAATTCAGTGAAAACCAGAAATTTCTGGCAAGTGTTTATCGTACAATAGTTCCATCTCTAGATTTTATCTCATTCTGATAGTTTCGTTTACTTTCGTAACACCTCAATTCCAAGGGATTCGAAGCAGCGATGTTAACTATCTTGATCAGGCTAAAATAAGAGCTACATTTAGTTTCACTGAAATAATTACTAGTAACTGTATGAAAATATGTTGGTTCGGCTTACAGTGTTTAAAGGAAACAGTCCCTATTTAGTGAAACTCTAGACTGACGAAAGCTGATATTCCTCGAAGCCGTCATTGTGTTATACGGTGCGAACCAGTATATTTTATACACACTTTAACTCGCCAAAGAGTTCGGAATATCTATGCGTCGTATACCAAACAAGAAGCTTCAAACCCTGTGTGTTTGGATTAAGACTTCGCCAGAAAAACAAATGTGCATCTATTTGAAAATTTTGGCTGCGTGGTTAGATTAGATCATTCATATTTTTGTCGTTACCAAATATCGTTAATCGGTAAACTGTCGTCTTTGAATAACGTTAATCGGTCAATTGTCGTCTTCGAATAACGTTAATCAGTCAAAAATATATGTATATTGTTCAAATAAAGGCAAATCAAGCTGTTGAATTAAATCCAGAAGAGCAGGACTGTTACAAAAATCACCAGTTATCTAATATAGTTGATTTGGACTATACACAGACGGCTAAGTGAGCTTATTTGGTGATAGAAGATTACTACTGAGATTTAGTTAGAAATTACTGGAGGGAGAAGTCACATGACCTATGTACTCAACTAATGTAGTTACCACAGTCTTGTGTATTCACATGTTGTAACATGAGCTACCAGGCTACTACATAGGATCATAATCCCTTAGTAACACGTACAAGTTGACAGAGTGCTGGGATTTAGTTTAATTATATATATATAATGGTATATATCTTCACACAAATCGGAACTAGAAAAGAAGAGTTAAATTAATTGCATTTTTATAGCATTCGAATACATACAACATGCTGGACGTGACCGAACTGCCTTTTGACACGCCCTCTATTTTTAGCTGTGGTTGCGTTATAGAATTGGAAATAATTTCTTTCAATGGGTTCCAGGAACCGAACAAAATCCTTGCTAAAAGGTTGCACTCAGTAATCCAAAATTAGGGATGGCTATACCTGAACCCTGGAGGTCTCCGACATGACCGTTTAGCGCATGCGCGCAAAGCGCTATTTTGGTAGTAAATTTCAATTTCCAGCTACATCTTGCAGATAACGCCACAACACACCACTTGATGTTGTCAAACAGGAAATATTTTATGAAGAACAACAAAACGACGGCCGCAACAATGAACATTTGACACGTGTGTGTACTGTAACAAACATTTAATTCTTGAACATTTCAGAATGTACATATTCCATCTTCAGCAACTTCCAACTTTAAATAATAACACAACTTCACTATAATTAAGTCTGTTCTGAACAACTTGTATAATATTGTTGCATTATCCTATCCTTTGTTTATTTGTTGTATTTCAACTTATATTATCCTTTTATTCTGTATTTTAATTACTTTTTTTTATAAAATGTTTAAACATAATAAATATTCGTACCTGATAATCTACCCAGTTCAAGATAACTTGCTGAAGATGGAATATGCATATTCCGAAACGTTCAAGAATTCAATTTTTGTTACAGTACACACACGTGTCAAATATTCGTTGTTGCTGCCGTCGTTCTGTTGTTCTTCATTAAACTTCGATTTTCGTCAAATTAATCTGTTGCTGAAATTGTTATATATTTTGGGTGTTTCTTGTTATTGTTGTTCTTCTTATCCCACCCTATAACATTAGAGTTATAAGATTTGTTTTATATGCTTTTACAATTTCTCGCATAATTAAAGAAACGTTTGAACCTTATCGTATACATACTGCAATAATTAACGCTTCCTCTTTAGCAAACAATCAATATTCGACAGCCAATAGTACTCTATAGTATTCATTTTTAAAACTGGTTACTAGTTAAGCAGATCCCATAATAACAAAGTTGAATATTCATTTGGAAATTTCATACTGTTCATTCCAAATGAATTTTCTCTGATCTGGCCCAACGCCTAATTATCAGTAAGTAAAGCTTTGAATCGAGACTGTAACCATTCGACATCAATTGCCGCAGCTTCCATTAACTAAACGACTATCTATCCGAAGAGGCTGGAGTTGGTGAAGTTGATTGGATTATTTTGAGATGAACTTATTTCCATTTAATCAGGAAATTGCAAGTCCGCGTATCAGTTTTTCGTTAAATAGTCCGCAAAGAACGGGTACCGTCTCTTTAGCTGTGAATTAAGAGACTGTAACTTACCCATTTAAATGAAGGTTGATCACATTTGAGGTGAACAGCTACAAAAGCTACAAACATTCGCAAGAGAAGGCCTTTGTACAGCATCCGTCAGTCAGACTAATAAAGTAAATTAAGAATATACATCTTAAATCCTTTCGGTTTCAAATTATCATTCACTATAATTTCAGCAAGAGAAAACATAAGTGTATTTATAATTCATTAATATGAAAGGAAAGGAAACGTCAATATGACACAAGTTGCTCATTATTAAGTTTCGCTTCATAATGTTAGAAAAACACGTAGATTCAAGAAATCATTTAACACAAAAATACGATAATTTTTAACCCGAGCGCTATTGAAACTAGTGGACACCTTTCTTCAGGGGCATATTGGGAATTTAAGGATCTCACTTTACTGAACAAAAAGTCTTTCTTCTCATTCCTTAACACGTTATTTTCGTCCACTTTTCTGTAACAAAATTAGGGATTTAAAATAATACGAGTTTTTTCTACTTTTTAACACTACCTACTAAAATA